TGCTCAGGGGGCGCAGGCGGTGGAGGAGGCCGTGGACAGCGCTCTGGAGACCGGTCCGGAGAGATGTCTTCCGGGCCTGCGGCGTAGCCCTCAGATATTAGCCACGACCTGCGGAGGAGAGAAAGAGGAGACTGAACTCAGAGCCAAGGGGAGGGAGCAGGTCCAAAAGGAGGTGACAGAAGCCCGGAAGAGGAGGTGGCCAGAGAGGAGATAGGGGAGGAAGCGAGGGAAAACCCCAAATCATTCAGCAATGATGGCTGCCTGTCTGTGCCAAGCCCCGTTTTAGGTGTGGAGTTTGAGAAGCGCTGCATACAGATGAAAGGAAGAGAAAAGAGCCGAGGGAGGGAAAAGTTGACACTGAAAACCAGGGGTGATGGTAGCCCCCACTGAGAAGGTGAGACCTGATCAAGGAGTCCAGGAGGAAGAGCGCTCGAGGCCGACAGAACCGCAGCCAAAGAGGCCCCGAGAGTCCTGCCGGTCACGAGGAGGAACCAGCCAGGAGGCCAGTGTGCAAGAGTGGAGTGGACACAGGGGGAGGCATAGGGGATGAAGTCAGAGAGTTCACAAGACAGCTGACAGCTGCACAGTACCCTCACTTATCCTTCACAACTGCATGGGGAAGGCATGCCTACTATCCTCCATTTTTCATGCAAAGAAGTTAACTTTCCCGTGATAACTGGTGGCACCAACATAAGAACGTGGGCTCCAGAGCACCCCATCACAACCAGAGCGCCTTCCACCTTCCAGGGGACCTCTCTGGACCCCAGAGTTCAGAGGTCCTGGGGTGGAGCCAAGGTCAAGGGGGGCGCAGGAGCAAGAAGGTGCATTTAATGGGCACTAGAAAGTGGTCATCTCTGGGGAAAACAAGGGATCAGGAGTGAATAAAAGTCTTACTGAGACAGAGGGGGTGAGGGTGGTGAGAGAGCCAGAGCAGACACAAACCCCATCCCAAAGCTCAGGGAGGGGCTCACCTGAGGCTTCGGAAGCTTCCGGCTTCTACCCGCTCAGGGGTCCGCTCCTCAGGAAAGTCCCAGGAAGCAGCTTCTTTTCCCTCTTCTTCCTCATCACCAAGCTCGCCACACAGCTGCCCGGCCAAGAGAGGTACAAGCCCCAGAGCCTGCAGCCGGCCCAGGGCCCCTGTATCATAGAGGAAGCCCACAAGGGCAGCCACGACACGAGGGTGCCAGGCGCTGGCATGAGGATCCCGCAAGAGTCCCATCAGCAGCTCCAAACCACCAGCATCCCGCAGCCGGGCTCGGTTGATGGCCTCCCGGCAAAGTAGGCACACAGCCCGCACCAGGGGCTGCTGGGAGGCTGGGCCAGCCCCACTGGGACCTCGGCGTTGCTGGAGCTCACCCAGCAGCACCTCCACACCACCAGCATTGCCCAGGGCAGGCCGTACCAGGTCCTGGGCACACAGGTTGGCAAGGATCAGGATAGCTGACTCGCGGACTGTCCTTTTGGGATGGGAGGCTAGACTGACCAGTGGGCCTAGTCCTCCACCCAGACTTAGCTGCTCAGCACAGGCACGGGAGCAGCCTCGACTCAGCTCTAGGAGGGCACGGACTAGGGCCAAGGTCAGCGCAGGGTCTGGGGCAGCAGCCAGAAGCTCAGCCAGTGGGCGCACTGCTCCCTGCTGTGCCAGGGCCAGGCGGTGCTGGGGGGAGTCCGCCAGGTTGCGGAGGGCGCGAATCACGCTCTGCAAGCAAGGTGAGTCCTGGTAGGCCGTCAGGCTCTCAATGAGGAGGGGAACAGCACCTGGAGAGGGAAGAGGAGGACAGGGAATGAGCAAAGACAGAAACCCAAGCCCCTGTCCCACCCCAAGCTAACGCCACCCTCACAGCCTTCTCACCAGCAGAATGAATGTCCGCACAGCTCTCAGCTTCCATGGCTAAGTTGCCCAGAGCACGGGCTGCTCGGTTCTGGATGCTGTCTGTCTTCACACACTGAAGAATAGTCACTGCAAGAGAATTTGTCCTCTTGCGGGTTCTATCCCTTCTTGTCTCTCTCATTAACTGCCTCAAGAATGTGATCTGAGAGGGTCAGGAAAGACCTCCAGGAGAAACTAACATGGGGTTTAGAAGGTTAAATAGGTAGGGATTTAGTAGGATAATGGATGGGGCTGTAACAGGGTATTTCAGGTTTGAAACCAGCCTTTGCAAGGGTCCGGAGGGGAGACCCAGTGTCTGCCATGACCTCATGAAAGGCTTGAATGCCAGGCCAAAGAATCAGGGTTTGAATGTGAGGGCACTGGGAGCCACATCAGGCTTTAAGAACGGGAATGGTGTGATAGAATCTGGCAGCCAGGAGAGAGAATGGATCATAGGAGGGAGGGGGGAGAATAAGGCAGGGGAAGCATCAAGGAAGTTGGTGCAATAGTCCAGGTGAGAAAGGACAGCGGCTTAAACCAAATCAGTTACCAGCACAGCCCAGGACATGGGCACAGGGCTCTGGGCACACGATGGAAGAGGGAGAGAAGTGGATGGATTCAGCAGATATTTAAAAGGCAGAATAGTGACTGAATGATGGGGGTTATATACTAATAATAACATATTTAATTTATTGAAGACTAATTAATGTGCCAGACCTCCTGTCAAACATATTTTGGTCCAGATGCATTTTATGCACATTTAAAATATATTGATGTTTCATTACCCCAAAATTTTAAGACTTTGTCAAAATTGGCATAATATTGCCTGGCCGGTGTTAATCAATGGTTGTTCAATTTCCTGTCACGGCACATGCCCGGGGTTGCGGGCTCAAGCCCCAGTAGGGGGCATGTAGGAGGCAACTGATCGATGATTCTCTCTCATCATTGATATTTCTATCTCTCTTGAAATCAATAAAACACTTTTTTAACCCGTAAAATTTCATACAGGCTACTAAGTAAACTGTATTTACAACGTTGCCACTAGGGGGCGCCAACTTAGCTGGGAAACAGAAAAGCTTGCTGTCTTGTTAGGATTTGTTAACTGCCTGTTGTTAGCTCGAAGCACCCAATTCATGTTTAGAGTATCTGTGTTCTATATCTGTTTCATTTTCTCCCATCTCCAGTTATGCGAGGTAGCTATTACTATCCCATTGTGCAACAAGGAATCCTAGCCTCTAGGGGTCTGGCTGACTGCAGAGCCCACTTTCCTGACCACTGCATCTTCTGAGCTCTACCTCATCAAATGACAGCCCTGCACAGGGCCGGACGTTCAGGAGACACTATCTGCCATGAATCTCATAAATGCAGGGTAAAAATCATCTAAAAGTCACCAAATAATCCCTTTAGCCTCACCAGCCCAGATGCGAGGGAGACATGGCTGTAATTATTGATCTGAGAGGGCTCGAGTATAATCTGTAACCTAACGAGGCGTGAAAGCTTGAGCAGTGTGGGCATCGCGCTGTCATGACGCACGTTCTTCCAGGATACAACACAAAGAACTCCAGACGCCGCCAAAGGCCGGACAAGCAGGGGGAGTGCCTGGAAGCCTTCTAGGACGTGGGGGCGGAGCACTTACCCAAAGACAGAATGCCTCCGAGTCTGCGCACTTCAGTCCGGCACGCCCCTTCCGTACAGCAGTCGGCTAGGATGCTAAGCGCCAAGTCCAGGGTCTTGCGCAGGCGCGCAGGCGGCGAGGACGTCGACAAGGACGCAGAGGAGGGGGCGGGGCCAGG